AAGATAAGTATAAGTCAATAAAAGCGACCGTGCTAGAACCACGGGACTCGAGGGGTGCCTAATACATTACTCTCGGTCAACAGAATTTCTTACCCGAATTTCTGGTTCGCAGACTAATATAAAGAATCATTTCCTTTTGATAAGGGATTAAACAAAAAGGTGACTGGGAACACCATAACTCAATTCCAAGTGTCAACTCTAAAAAAATAAAATAATCCCTAAATCAATACCGTCACTTAAATTGGAAAAAGCCCTTTCGCCGCTGTGCGCAAAAAGGGGTGTGACAATTTACCCCGAATCAAATCAGTTTCCCTCGAACACCGATAAGCGGCAATGAAGTACAACCTTCACCTTAGTGCATTCACTCTCTTGAGCTGAATGTGTGGGAGAGGGTTTAAAATTCACTCTCTCGAGCTAAACCCACGACAACCCAATAACCACAGACTATCGATTCAATAGTTTTGGTTTTAAAACTTCTCTATTGAGCAAGTCAAAAACATGAAGAGAAAATTGTATTTGCAACTACAACCCCATTTAATTCAAACAGAACTACTGAATGAAATCACCTCTAAACAACGAATAAACAATCAATTAGCAATACCCAACAATAAATTTAGCCCATATTCACAAATTCACACCCCAAGAATTGGGGTTTTAGCTAGACATAGTAAAGAGATAGAAACCGATACAGAAAAGTGTTTCCATCAAATGGGTATGATAAATATTGTCTTTACACACGTCAAGGATGAAGAATCTTAAATACCCACTTCCAATCGCTTAGAAAATGGAAATCTTCAACTCTTCAAAGCTAAGGAAAATAGTCTCCAAAAACTAAGTTCTAAAAACTGAAAGTTCTAAAACTGAGTTCTGAAATGTAAAATTTGATAATAGACTAAAAATTCAAACATGTATTTATAGTTGTCAAACAGTGTGTTGCAAAGGATCACTTGACGCAGTTAGTCGGGATCGCCGATTCATTCGGCGATCCGCCCTTTGGTCTGGTTCATCGCCTTTCTGCATTGTCCTTCAGCAAATTTAAGTTCTGTAACATTGGGCGATGGAGTAATGCATCGCGGAATTGTTCGGCGACTCGCTGACTGCTCTTTTCTATCGCCTATTTGATTTTCTCCTTCAGAGCTTGGTACACTGGAACTTTAGGCAAGACCATAGCCATTCGGCGACTCTCCTAATGGTTTAGGCGATCATCAGGCCGTCTTTTCTTCGTCTTTTTAGTTGCCTTTTTTCTTTTTGCCCAATAGTGTCCATGCTTTGTCTCTAACTCTAAATACTTGAAACTAAAGAATTTTATCAGTTATTGAGACAAAATATGTATTTGAGGACACTAAATCTATCAAAATAAATCCCTAAAATTGTCCAAATCGTGGACTCATCAACATCCTCAACTTAAACTTTTGCTTGTCCTCAAGTAAAACTCAAGTTCAACAGTTCAAAAAGGATGTCTAAAACAGTGCTACACAAGACTCAATCATGAATGCACACAAAAAGTCTCAACTTACTCATGCCAGGTTCAATTGTGCACTCAAAGTTTCAAGTTGTGACTCACCATTATCAAAGAATCTCAAGCTCAATATACTTGCTTCAAATGCAAGTTCAAGCTCAACAAAGGTATTCAAATGCCCTCACAAAAGAATGATTCCATATTCACTCAATGGTTTAATCGATTAAAGTTTCGGAATCAAGATCAACAGTCACACTCACAAAGATAAACACAATGCATGATTTTGCCCTTATTTTCCAATCGACTTTTGCTTTTGCTTATTCAAGATCAAAAAGGTCTTTTCAAGGCTTGTAATGGGGCTGAGTGTATCAGTATGATAATTTAGGCTTATAGGCTTAAAATCCTCATGCATTGTGATGTGAACAACACCTTCTTTCCTTCTCTTTATCATTTTCATTCAAGCTCAAAAGTCACCTCTTATTCATCTTCCATAAGTCATTGGGAACCCATTTTCTTTGTATTTCCACAACTTTATTTCACAAATTTTTCTTTCTTTTTTCTTTTTCAATCTCTTCTTCTTTTTCTCTCTTTTTTTTATATGGAAGGGTTCCATTTTTCTCAAAACATAGGCACAAGGGACTTCTTTGCATTTACTTGATTTGCCTTCTCTTTTCACCAGACCCCTAACATAGGCTTTTGTCCTAAGTTGTCTATTCAAACAAACCACTGATCATGAGGATTATGGGTAATGGGTCAATAAAAGGAAGAAAAGTTATCAAGTTTGTTCCAAGAAAAGGTTTAGGCTCAAAGGGTGCTCAAAAGAGGTTCACACACTCACAAGGTAAGCCACAAAAGAGGTATAATTTATTAGTTTACAATCTTTAAAATTTTCCTAAGATTATCTCAAGAAATTGCATCACTTAGTCAACCGGACCAACGGGGCAAATTCTAGGTGTCATCACACATGGTTTATGGTAAGCTCATCACACAAGGCATTGTCACCAAAGTCAAACAAGACTCCATACTTTTGCTAGTGTGCAATGATCATCACAAGAGACACAATTCGATACTTGGCTAGTCACAATGAGATGCAATGAGTTCACATATTGTCTATGCAACTTCAATTGACTTCGTTGTGGCAATACATTCATTTTTTTCGGTTATGAGCACTGTTCAAGTCATCGATATTAATCAAAATTGATACTAAAATTTGAAAGAGAACAGCCACATTTAACACATACAAGAGGTGGTAATTTTTTTGTCGAAAGGGTCAAAAATCATTTACAATTAAAAGCAAGGAGCCACAGCTCAAGCATCCACAAAAGTAGTGTCAACACAATTATATATTTCAACCCAAATATATAAACAAAACTAAGTCACAAAAGATGGGCATCACCCCACCACAAATA